ATTATCATGCAAATTGTCTTTCTGTCCTTCTCCAGACATGCACAGAGATAGGAGAACGACCCTGTCCTCTGGGAGATCTTGTTTTCCATCCAAATGCAGGCTGGATGTGCCACAAGTTGGAAAACAGAAGGGAAAATCACAGCAGCCCTTCCAGAGGAAACGTTTCTCTGCGTGAACGTAAACCTACCCCCGTGTCACTGCAGGGAATTTAATCGGTTCATGATCACGGGGAAACAAATGGAATATCTAAAAGCACTTGCAACAGAAGAAATCAACTCATTAGGAATTTCAGCCTAAAGGACTGTGGGAGCCCTGGAGAAGGAGGGAAGGAGGAGGAGCAGCTCCCTGTACCTGTGGCCACAGAAGTGTCGCTCTCGTGTACTTTGTGTTGGATTTTATTGAAGGATTTGTTTGAAGGGTTTGTTTAAAGGGTTTGTTTAAAGGGTTTGTTAAAATGAGGCAAAGTCTTGCAGAGTTGCTGCTCCCTAAGTGAGGCTTCACTTGCTGGAAGAGATCAGGGTCCAATTTTTAAGCCCTTCACACGATTCCCCTAAAGCCCAGCTTTAAAATTTAGATTAAATGCAAGGGGTAGAAGTATAAAACCACCCCCAAGTGTATCATTTATTCAGCTTGAAGGTTAATGCATTAAGGTTTGCAGCCCTTATAACCCACCAAGGCACATGAATGAAACCAGCCCTGCCTGTCATTTCACCTCCCTCAGCGCTATCAGAGGAACCTCAAATACACCAAAAATTCCCCAGTGAACAAACACTGAGCTGTTCAGGGCTCACCTTCACAAAGAGCTCGATGGCTGGAAACAAGTGCCTGTGCTGGAGCAGGAAGGAGCTCGAGGGATGCATGGAAGGGACTTGATAAACCTCCTGGTTCTCCCTAGAAACCTGCAGGAATCTCCTGGGACAACTCCCCGTGCCTTCTGCCCCTGGCACTGCAACAACCACTGGTTTTTTTAACTTGGGAGGGAGAACCAGAACTGCCCTAAGCATTGGCAGGGGGTGAGAACGTTCAGAAATGCTGGGTTAGAAAGAGAAAAAGGCTTGTTTCTGCTGGAAAAGCCTTGTCTTGTAGGTGGCAAACGTCAGAGCTGGTCAAAAGCTGCCATTGTGTTTTAGCTCCCACTCAGAGCAGGGCCCTGCAGGGCTGTGCAGGATCTGCAGCCCCAGGAGACACAGAAATGCTGTTCACACAGAATCCCAGAAGGGTTTGGGTTGGAAGGGAACTGAAAGATCATCACATTCCACCCCCTGCCATGGGCAGGGACACCTTCCACCAGCACAGGGTGCTCCAACCTGGCCTTGGACACTTCCAGGGATCCAGGGGCAGCCACAGCTTCTCTGGTCAACCTGTGCCAGGGCCTGCCCACCCTCCCAGCCAGCAATTCCTTCCCAATATCCCATCTAACCCTGCCCTCAGATTACATTCCTGGTGATGTAAACACTGTCAGGGAAGAACTTGCTGATAGCAGCACAGGAGCAGCTCAGGAGAGAGAGCTCACACTGATCCCAGAATCATCAAGGCTGGAAGAGCCCTTCAATATTCACCCCCACCATCCCCCAGCACCACCAGGATCCCCCCTAATCCGTGTCCCCAAGGGCCACATCCAGACCCCTCTGGGACACTCCCACGCACAGGGACTCCACCACCTCCCTGGGACACTCATTGCAAGGCCTGACCACTCCTGCAGGGACAAATTGTTTCTGCTTTCTGAAAAAAAAAAAAAAAAAAATTTGCTGTTTCAGCCACATTAGAACACTATATTTAAAAAAAAAAAATCTTTTTTATCTATTGAATGTATTAATATTCTATACTGACTGTATAAAAACCAATTTAAAAATCCAAAATCACTCTTTTTTTTTAGGCAAAATTACCGCTCTTAGGAAGGCAACAAAAATATATTTACAAGTACTTTTGCTTCAGGGAGGCACTAAAAAGCATCTGATATTCTGTGCTTGTCGCTGGGGTCAGATCACATCCAACCCAAAGCTTTTTTTTTGCCGGGAAGAGACGGATCAGCTGGAATTTTCTGCCTTGTTTTCCTGCTGGGGCACAAACACCCCAGCACTGAATTTTCACGGAGCTCTTTCAATGCCACCTGCTGGGCTGGAAACGTTCCTCCTGAAAGGCTGAAATTGTAATTCCAGGCTCCAGTTTCAAGATAAAGCAGCTTGTAATTTAAAATACATTTTCGTGGAGAAAGTTTTAAACCATCACTCACCCACAACACCTAAGCCAGATGTTTCCAGCTGTTGTTCATTTTCTCAGCCCAAAAACAGGAAAAAAAAAAATTAATGTTTAAAACGTGGCTGGTGATTCCTGCCTGGAAATTGTATTTTTGGTGCTTGCTGGGACATCCCCAAAAGTGAAGTTCAGTGGAAACAGCAACTGGACTCTCCCTCAGGTATTAAAAAAAAAAAAAAAAATCCGATTTTCCCACCGTTTTTCTCTTTTTCAAAGCAAAATAACCCCCTTGGTATTGAAAGTGGGGCATAGGGATTTTTTGCTTTATAAAGGAATGCATCCTGATTTATGCTTTGAAATATTAACACCCTGGGACACCATTCCAGGGCCTCAGAGAACACCAGACATAGTTAAAGGATTACAATTGGACCAGGCAAGTTCAGGAACACACTTTTTGTTCTAAACCCTCGTGAAGGTTTCAGGTTAAGGGGGGAACAGTAAACGTAACTCCCAGAATTCTGCTGAAAATGGTTTCTTTCGTTTTTTTTAAGGGGCTCAGGCAGAGAAAAAAAAACAAAAACAAAACAAAACAAACAAAAAAACCCCAAAACAAAAACATGAAGGGGAAGGAAGGAGAAAAAAACTGAACTATTTTCTCTAAGGAATTAAGGGTGGTTTGACTTTCACCATCAAAGAATCCCAGAATGGTTTGGGTTGGGAGGGGAATTAAGGATCATCCTGTTCCAACCCTCTGCCAAGAGCAGGGACACCTTCCACCAGCACAGGGTGCTCCAAGTTTCTCCAGCCTGGCCTTGGACACTTCCAGGGATCCAGGGGCAGCCACAGCTTCTCTGGGAATTCCATTCCAGTCCCCCTGGAGATCCAACCCCCCAAGTGCAGTTTTTGTGACCTTGACCTGCTGCAGCCCTGGGGCACGGCCTGGGTTTGTTCCACAAACATGACCTGCCCTTCCAGGGCAAGGGATGTCACAGGTCACAGGAGAGACAGGAACACACAGCCCCACTGCACAGACCCCAGTGGGAGTGGGGATCTTCATCTTGGGGGAAAGGAGAGTCCAGGGAAACCTGAGAGCCCCTGCCAGGACCTAAAGGGGCTCCAGGAGAGCTGGAGAGGGACTGGGGACAAGGGATGGAGGGACAGGACACAGGGAATGGCTTCCCACTGCCAGAGGGCAGGGAGAGATGGGAGATTGGGAAGGAATTGCTGGCTGGGAGGGTGGGCAGGCCCTGGCACAGGTTGGGCAGAGAAGCTGTGGCTGCCCCTGGATCCCTGGAAGTGTCCC